TAGCAATTGAGAGGGTGATTTTTAACCATTTTTGCACCTCCTATGGGTCACTATTGCCTTGTCACACAGTGATTCATTCGATCCCACGGTTCATGGTAGTTAGTTAGGGCAGGGGGAAGCAACTCCCGAGTGAAACTTCTCACCAAGAGTTTTCCACCCTTTTACTTTTCAAGTCTTGCTTTTAAAAGGTAGATTGTAGAGATTTTAACAAACAACATTCCGCTAGATATAATGTTTCAAACAATTGAAGTAGGGGTATATGGGCCATCCCGGGTTGATATTTAAACATACTTGCCCTATATTGCACCCATTTAAGGTTTATACTTGGGCCTTAGGTGGGATTTTATTGTGATATTCGGAGCGAGTCAAATACTCCAGTAATTTTCTGAACGGTTAAATTTCTTCCTAGTTTTACTATTAAGTATTATCGCCCTAACTTAAATAGTAAACTTACTAAATTATCCTTCATCATTTAAGTCAAATTCAATAAAATAAACGGTCTCTAAAATCCATAACCATCCTTTATTTCTGAATAATCGCCGCTGATCACCGCCACCCAGCCACCATTGTCGTCAGTAGGTCAACGGTGCCCGCCGAAGAACACCATCTTGCACTTGCGACGGGAACTTTGTGGCCAGTGGCGACTGGAGTGGTGATTGACGAAAAAAGATCAATTTTGCAGTTCATTGTTACGAGATCGGGCCATCGTAGCATTTCGTAGGAGACTGGGCTTGCGTATCTATAGTATTTTATTATTATTACATTATTGGGCTTTTATTACTATATTGTCTTTATTATTGTTTTCCTTGTTCGTATAGGATCTGGTTATTTGTTGGTAATATCCTTAGAGGTTTAGGAGTTATATTCTAGATAGGAAAAGGTAGAGGCTTCTATGCCTATAAATATGTACTTGTTTCGTTCGTTTAATGTCATGAGAAGATTGGAACCCAATTTATGTTTGTTTGCTTTGATTATTTCTTTCGTTCAGTATTAGTAGTTTCGTAGTTATTTTGGGGTTGTTCTGGCCATTAAGGAGATCCTCTACTCGAGAGCGTCGAGCAACGTATCCAAAAGTCCGGAGAAGTAAAGATCCAGTACGTAGAATTCCGCCCCTACGGCGCATCTACGTAACATTCATGGCGATGGGAATCAGCCTGCGGTGGAGGCGGTTAGTCACTTGTTTTGGATTAATTATGGTTACTGACTCCACCACCCAGCCATCACTTATCTATTTTCAACTTGTTATACTGCCAATTTGCTGAAGAACACCATGATGAAAAATATATCAATTTTGCGGCTGCTGGCGATGGGAATCAGCCTACGATGGAGGCGGTTAATTGTGGTTATTAGAATAAAATATATCTTAACAATAAAAAAGAAAAGGGTAAAGTGTTAATCTCAACTATTAAGTTAGGGAGATTATAGTAATATCTAGGGCGACAGTTAGCAATCCCCAATTTTTGTATATATTACAAAGTTGCCATTACGAATCCACATATCAAGTTCAATTGATGGGTTGAAAGCGCAGCTTAATTATAAAACTTGGTCGTCAAGCACACTAACAACTTCAATTTGAGTCAAGTATAACCCGAATTGGATAAGTAATATAGGCATTACCCTTGAGGTCGTATTCCCACATGCACCTTAGGTTTACTACTACTTTGCTCTAAACTATTATCTAATCGATCGATAATTGTTGATTTGAAATTAACTAACTAGAAAGAACAACAATTAACTAGTTAAGAGGTCGCTAGAGATGTAGTTACTTAGGATTTAATCCTTCTAATAGTAGGAAGGGTATGTGATTGATGCTTGCCTTAACACGATTTCCCTATCTTCTAAGTTGCAAGAAATGACTTAGTATAGTGGTTGGTGCAAGGATTATATCTCTCAACTACAATTCTAAGCCTCTAAACTAGCTCAATGATCATTTAATTAGCTAGGAACTTCAGCTCAATGATAATGTAATATCACGTAATACTTTATCTATATTATAATCTTAACATAAGAGGGTGGTCACCTCAACTTAGGTCAAGAATAAATCAATAACCACTTTTACCGAAGCAAGAGATTGACAAGATTAAATATCAAATAAACATAGGTAGATATGAATCATGATAGGTTCACATTCTGACAACAAAACCTAGCTACGTACCAGAATTCATCATTCCTAAGCAACTATAAGAGTTTAAGTCATAGAGAGAAAGAGGAAAATACAAACTAGAAAGAGAAGACAAGGTTGAAACCATCTTCTTCTCCTATGATTAACCTCTTCTCCTTGACTCTTGGATGACTTCTTTCTTCCTTAGCTCTTTCTAGGTATTTTATTTCACTAAAACTACTTAAAATCCTAATTTCTCACTCTAGGTTGGCTCTTCTTCATCAAGTGACTCGCTCGAAATACAACTTGATGGCCAAGTGCAACCAATGACAGGTGTGTTTAATAATTAACCCAGAGTCTCTAGATGTATTACTACTCAGTATTAATCTATTATCCAACAATCAAGTTCGAGTGGTACCGGTTAAAAACTAAGAACACAATAAGAAATTGGTTTGGGTTTCAAATATCAAAGAGGTCAATCAAGTATTGATTCCCCTAGTCTCTAGCCAGATTAATGATCGTTGATTCTCTAAACTGTTTTATTCAATATTTATACCGTGGAGAATCATTGATTAGTCTTGAATATCGATTAAAGCAGACAAGGGACTCTTGAAATAGACTTTTCAAAGGGACACTATCCTCTACCGAGACAGAATACCAAGGCAATAAAAAACTATATTCCCTATATTGGGTAAGGCTCTCATCCAATATCAAGTAGTGAATCGATTCCCTACTTATAATTGACGATGGTCTATTAATCTAATAAGGTATTTTCTCTCCTAAGTTAAAGCAGAAATCACAAGATTATGATCATGATTCAAACAACTCATGAAAATGCATTAACTAGATATGAACTTTGGACTAAAAAATCTAGGTTGTCAAACAATCATACAAATCCATACAAGATTAGGGCTCCTCAAAATCCAAGTGAAAGAGGGATTATTTCATGAAGGACAAGAGAAGAAGCACATAAGAAGAAGAGGGAGCAATCTACACGGTAGAAGTCTTGATCAAATCCTCCCAATCGCCTCATATGGTCATGAGCAGCTGGAAGATCCCCTTTCTCTACCCTCTATCTCGAAATTTAGGTTTTAGGTTGTAACTGGTTGTCTCCCTTCAGAAAACCCTAAGTTTAGATTAAATAGACTGGAAACCAAGCTCGAACGCGACCATGGGCATGCCTGTGCTGATCGTGGCTTTTATTTTATTTTTTTCATCTTTTTCGGCTTTTCGAGGGGCGAATGGATCCCGAGCATGCCTCGAAGAACGATCGCGTCTTAGGGCGTGTTGGTTCATAAAAATATATTAAAATCACATTTAAATGCACGTCAAATCATCTTGAACTATATAACCTCCATCTTTAGTGCATTTTTCCATCTAAATATCATTAAATTCTCTCAAACTAACTTGATATACACTAAAACAACAAACGAAGCATAAAACGGTCAAAAACATATAAATCTTGCTGAAATGATAGCCCAAACAATGTCAAATGAGGAGTAAAAATATATAGAATTTACGGTGCATCAACAAATGTAGAAAAATGGCTTAAATAGTGATTTTTGGTGCACGTCAGGGCCACTGACCGTGATGTGAAGGCTCGTCATGGATTGGAGTCCGCGACTATCACGAAATAGTGGATTGAAGACAGGTCACGTCCACATCACGGTCGTGATCGCGACGTGTAAAACGTCGCCAAGTCATCGTTTTCCTCCACGTATTGACTTGTACACGGTTTCCGAGTTCCCGACCTTGACCTCCAAGATCCCGAGTGATCTCAAAGTCGATGTTGTTATCCTTCTCGCAGTTAGACCGTTCTTGGCATCAAACTGGGTCGCAAAACATTCTCCACATTTCTGCGGTGGGGGGGGGGGGGGGGATGCTAAGTTCACAGTCACAGTTGTGACCGTGACCTAGCTCAAAAGCTCCCTTCCTTGCTCATGTGTGTTGCAAAAGTGCCCAGATGAACCTCAAATCAATCCCTAATCAATTTAAAATGACTACAAAATCAAGAATACCATTAAAAAACACCAAGCAAACAGAAAATACAACAAAATGAGGTAGTTTCCCCATGAAGAACCTTCACAACAACCTAACTCATGCTAAACCTCGTGATTTATGCATAGGAATGCATATTGACATAAAAGCTTTTAATGGAAGTTAAACATCGGTTTAGATATTATCATCGATTTAATTGCTATCATCCACACTCAAATAAAAATTATATTTCAACCATTCTATTAGTGCCTAAAACAACTTTTTACCAATCAGGCATCAGCTAATTAAGAAGATAGAAAAGAGTGAATTCATTCATAAAAAAAGGACTAATTAGTAGCCGCATGGCCGCCTAAGCTAACGAGTAGCTCTGCCGACTGCCAAGAGGAATTCTTTTGCTCACCTTGAGAAAGAGAAACAAAACACCGCGTCCAGTCTAGCCGCTCGCTATTAATATTTGGGGCTGTTACTGCTGTCTAAAAATGGAGTTAAGCTACTTGGGAGAGAAAGAGAAACGAATCTAGTGCAAGGGAAAGGACGGATTTGGGAAGGGGAGGCCGGTCGACGTGTCAGCTCCAGATTCCTCCTCTTCAATGGGGAACAACTGAACAAGAACACACACCCGAGTCCAAAACACCTAACACACATCAGCATCATTATCTTTCAGTCCAGGTTTTGGGTTTGGTTTTGCAGTTTCTAGTAACTTTGTACCGTCCGAACGAACCCCCACAGCCAATTTCACTACCAACACTAGTCGGTTGTCACTTGGTCAATTTATGGCTTTACTTTTCAGGCCTTTCTATCTGCATTGATAATTGCTGGTGTAGGAAACTCGGATCATTTTTTCTGCCAGCCTTTTGCTTTTGTTTTTTCTCCAGTTCAGCGAAACGTTTTAGAATAATAAATTTTTAAGAGGATTGGGAGAGGGGGAAGAAGAAAAAGGAAAGGAGAAACCCACAGAAATTGGTGGGGGAAGGGTTTTTACTGCTGCTCTCTCGTATCTAACTGTATTTAATCCCCGGCTCTTTGACATGGAACAAAACCCTAAGGGTTCTTGTAAGAACCAATCGCCGCCAGATTGATCTCAGCCGTTAAACCCCATCTCTCTCGTTCATTTTTCTTTCCTCCTCTTTGCTTTCTTCCACTCTGTTCCTCCCTGAAATTTGTTTCCCCTCGAAAACCAGGCAACCCACTTCCCCTGATTCTGTTGCTTGCTCTTTCTCCCTTGTTTTGGTTGCTGGTGCTTTCCTACCGGGCATGGTCTCCAAAGTTGTCTGCTTTGGACGTGGAAGAGAATAATAGACCCTCCCCTGCTTCGGATTCCTCTCTTTTTTTTTTCTTGGGTTTTTAATTATAAAGAAATGTTTTCTTTTATTTCCGGGTTTTGGTAGGTTAGGATGGTTGATAATTAGTTTTATCATCATTTCAGTGTAGGTGATAAAAAAGTTTTGATCTTTTTTTCTTCATTTCCTGGTCTTAGGTTGCTGTCTAGTTTTTTTTCTTCTTTCTCCTGTCCTGCTTTTTTGTTGCAAAACCTCCGAAAGTTGCAGTCTTTGAACCTGTACATACGGGGGTTTAGCTCCGGTGGGAAGTTTTGATTTTTGATCCGTTTTGCGGGTGTCAATCGGTTCTGAGGTTTGCTGCAGTGGGTAAATGATCAATTTTGGAATTTGAAAAACCATGTTATCTGAATTGGGAAGGAGACCGATGATAGGAGCTAGTGATGGATCATTCGGTGATGATTTAGAGAAGGAAATTGGGTTGTTGCTCCGTGAGCAGCGCACTAGACAAGAAGCTGATGATCTTGAGAGGGAGCTCAATTTGTATAGAAGTGGGTCTGCTCCGCCCACTGTTGAGGGTTCCCTCAACGCCGTAGGCGGCTTGCTAGGTAGTTCGGCGCTGCCTCACGGTGGAGTAGGAGGCGGTGGAGGAGGAGCCGCCGTCGCCTTTTCGGACTTTGCTAGTGGTAAAAATGGCTTTATGAATGAGGAGGAGCTTAGGTCTGACCCAGCTTACTCAGCTTACTATTACTCAAACGTGAATTTGAACCCTAGGCTACCCCCTCCTTTGATATCTAAGGAAGATTGGAGGTTTGCTCAGAGAATGAAGGGAGGAGGGAGTTCAGTTGTAGGTGGGATTGGTGATAGGAGGAAAGTGAGTAGGGCTGATAATGGTAGTGGGAGGTCATTGTTCGCTATGCCTCCCGGTTTTGATTCGAGGAAGCCAGAAAATGACAACGAGCAGGAGAAGGTTCACAACTCCTCTAGTGAATGGGGTGGGGATGGACTGATAGGTTTACCAGGGTTAGGGCTTGGGACTAAGCAGAAGAGTCTTGCTGAAATCTTTCAGGTGATTGATTACAGCTTAATTGCCCGATGAACTCAGTCATTTGACTGCTCTTTTTGAATTTAAATTGCTTGTGATGTATTTATTGGTGGTACAGTGGTGGTAAGTGATTGATTTTCATGAGATTCTCATCGTGCAATATGTATGTTATTGTTATATTTTGCATGTGGAACTGGTTATGCATTTCCCTTTGAAAGTATTGTAGTTTGGAGGATGCATTTATACAAACACGTCCTATGCTTTTCTTTCTTGGTATTGCTTTTGTTGGGGTTACAGGAAGGTGCTTTGTGTTGCTGATGAGTTGCCCGTCTTTTCTGTGCATTCTTTTATCTGTAGCCAGTTTTGAGGTGGAGAATGCGAATTATGAATGAAAAACTCTTGTTGCTGTTTCTTTCTTGTGAACTCTAATAATGCTTCATGGTAATTGAATGGCCATTTGCAACATTTTGGGCGTACTGGCTATAAAATATCTGCCGGAGTTGCTATATTCTACTGTTTGACTATAATGAATTGTATAACCATGTGTTTGCACCTTGGATGATGACATAATTTGAAAGTATTCATATCATCTAGTATGTAACTTATCAATCTTCTTCAGAAGTAATGTGTTCCTATTGTTTCTCACGGGAAGACTATTGTAGTGTTGCTGTGTAATCGTTGTCTGCCCTCGTACTGTTCTAATTGTTGAGGGTTCTTGCACCTGTGCAGGATGACATGGGTCGTGTGACTCCTGCTGTTGGCCACCCTTCTCGCCCTGCTAGTCGCAATGCATTTGGTGAAAATTTAGAGAGCATGGGCGCTGCTGAAGCTGAGCTAGCTCACTTGCGACGTGAGTTGTCTTCTGCAGATCCTGTAAGATCAGTTGCAAATGGCCAAGGTTCTTCTGCTGTAACTAGTGTTGGCCAAGCTTCGTCTTACTCTTATGCAGCTGCTCTTGGTTCCTCTTTGTCTAGGAGTAACACTCCTGATGCACAACTAGTAGCTAGGGCTCCCAGTCCTTGTCCTACACCCATAGGGCAAGGCAGGAATTCTGCATCTGAAAAGAGAGGGGCTTCTAGCTCTAACTCATTTAATGTCGTGCCTACCAGCATCAGTGAATCTGGAGATCTTGTTGCTGCTTTAACTGGTATGAACTTGAGCAATGGCGTAGAAGAAGAAAACCAATTGCCACCCCAGATGGGACAGGGTGCTGAAAACCACCACCAGAACAATTTATTTGGTTTCCAAGGAGGTCAGAACCACTTGAAAAATCAGAATACTTATTTTATGAACTCAGACTCTGGGCATTATCAAATGCCTTCTGTTTCTCAAGCTGGAAAGATGACATATGCAGATTCAGGCAAGAGCAATGGTAGTAGCTCAAACCTCAATGGCCCATCCTTTGGGGAGAGGCATGCCGACATGCAAAAATCAGATGTTCGTCATGGTAATAATTCTTATGTGAAGGGATCACCTCCATCAACTCATAATAGCCGAAGTGGCTTGCACACTTACCAACAGATGGATAACATGAACCCATCACTTCTGAACTATGGAATGAGTGGGTATTCTGTTAATCCAGCTTTGGCTTCTGTGATGGCTGCTGGTCAACTTGGCTCTGGAAATCTCCCCCCTTTATTTGAAAATGTTGCTGCAGCGTCAGCCATGGGTGTCCCTGGTCTGGATTCCAGGGTTCTTGGAGCAGGTATGGGATCTGGAGCAGGTCTCACAGGTGCAAATCCTGAATCACGCAATTTCGGAAGACTAGGGAGCCCTATTAGTGGAAGTTCCCCTCAGGCACCATATGTTGATCCTTTGTATCTCCAGTATCTGAGGACTCCTGAATATGCTGCTGCAGCTCAGCTTGCTGCATACAGTGATCCCACGGGCGAGGGGAACTATTTGGGTAACTCCTATATGAATTTACTTGAACTCCAAAAAGCTGCCTATGCTGGAGCTATGCTGTCCCCGCACAAATCTCAGTATGGAGCCCCTGTGGGTGGTAAATCTGGCAGTTCTAATCTCCATAACTACTATGGAGGTCATGGTTACGGTGTTGGTGGTATGTCATATCCTGGTAGTCCTCTTGCAAGTCCTGTTATTCCAAACTCCCCTGTTGGTCCCGGAAGTCCAATTAGACACAATGATCTGAATATGAGGTTTGCTTCTGGTATGAGGAGCTTGGGTGGTGGTGGTATCATGGGTCCATGGCACTTAGATGGAGGGATGGATGAAACCTTCGCATCCTCACTTCTAGAAGAGTTCAAGAGTAATAAAACCAAGTGTTTGGAACTTTCAGAAATTGCAGGTCATGTTGTTGAGTTCAGGTAATCTATAGTCAAAATCAAGTTAGTCTTCTTCTATCATTGTTTATCCATACTGTATCAGATTATGCAACTTTGAATGCCTTATTATGAGCAGTGCTGATCAATACGGGAGCCGATTCATCCAACAGAAGCTAGAGACAGCCACAATAGATGAGAAGAACATGGTGTATAAAGAAATCATGCCACAAGCTCTTGCTCTAATGACTGATGTGTTTGGTAATTATGTTATTCAAAAGGTAATTAACCCCAAATTCATTCATTCTTTAACTATTCTGTTTTGCAAGTGCTTTCTAGTTCTAGTAATGGTAACACTTGGATTGCTTCTGTTGCAGTTTTTTGAGCATGGGCTGCAGTCACAGAGAAGGGAACTAGCTGCGAAGTTAATTGGTCATGTTTTGACGCTTAGTCTTCAAATGTATGGATGCCGGGTGATTCAGAAGGTATAACTATGATGAGTAGTTATTTGTTCAGTATCATAATAAAGCATTATTCCTTTTATCTTTTCTTGGTTGATGAAATCAGTTTAATACCTAGAGAATGAAGGACAATAGTATCATTCAGCATTGACAATTCCAATTTTGAAGTCCTTATTCCATTTTAGTTTCATGATGTGTTTAATAGTCTTCTTAGTTGAACCATAATTAATAAATTGACTTGAGGGTAGAAAGGAAGGGGGTTTAGTTTACTATACTGGGTCTAATCACTTGTTTACCATTCAGGCAATCGAGGTTGTTGACCTGGACCAAAAGATCAAAATGGTCGGAGAACTTGAGGGTCATGTTATGCGCTGTGTCCGTGATCAGAATGGGAACCATGTCATCCAAAAGTGTATTGAATGTGTCCCCGAGGATAACATCCAGTTTATCGTCACGACATTCTATGATCAAGTAGTGACCCTCTCCACCCATCCTTATGGTTGCCGTGTGATACAGGTGAAAAGAAATTACTTGTCTTTTTTGGCTTGTATCTGTGGAGAATATCTGGTTAACATGTATGTAACATGTGTTTATGATGTCCAGAGAATTCTGGAACATTGCGAGGACCCAAACACGCAGAGTAAAGTTATGGATGAGATTCTGGGAGCTGTCAGCATGCTAGCACAAGATCAGTATGGCAATTATGTTGTTCAGGTTTGTGATCTTTAGCCCGAAATTGTTTTACATAACCGAAGTTTTTCTCATGGATATCACGTCTTGTTATTCTGTTCAAGATCGCAAGTGCTTTTGGCTTCTGCTGTATCTTTTTTTTCCTTAGCAGTGTCTTCCGATATTTTTTAGGATGTGTAGTCATTTACTATGAATGTCTTTGTTCAGCACAAAAGAAATTTGATTAAAAGTTGAAACAAACAATTTTCATTCTAAACCCACAAATAATTAGACACTTAAGGTGTCCTCAATGAAACATTTTTCTTCCACCTTCGCCCTTTCATAATAGGAATCTATCTTATGCCCATAATAGTCATTTTCCTAAGTCTACTCATTTCGTTATCGTCAAACACCATGCACTATAATTTCAGCTCTGGAATAAGCTTGTACCTCTGCATCTTATTTGTCATACTCTCTTGCAACTTGGAAGAATACCCCCTGACAATCTTGCTTGCATAGCGACTTAATCCTAGTTTGAAGCCATTTCAAAAGTATATTCCCTCTCCTGGCGGCTTTGCTATAACTCTAGCCTTAATTTTTTATTGGTCTGACAGCATGTACTGGAGCATGGAAAGCCGCATGAACGATCTACTATCATTAAGGAGTTAGCCGGGAAGATAGTCCAGATGAGTCAGCAGAAGTTTGCGTCGAATGTTGTCGAGAAGTGTCTGACATTTGGTGGTCCTGATGAACGGCAGCTACTGGTGAATGAGATGCTCGGCACTACGGATGAGAACGAACCTCTCCAGGTTCTGCAGAATTTTCCTTTCTGCTGCGTATGTAACAGATACTACTAGCAAAATGCATGCTATGCTTAATAGTCTCTTCCTGTTTCCTTAGGCTATGATGAAAGACCAGTTTGCAAACTACGTGGTACAGAAGGTGTTGGAGACTTGCGAAGATCAGCAGCGCGAGCTGATCATGACGCGAATCAAAATCCATCTCAATGCACTGAAGAAGTATACATATGGGAAGCACATTGTTGCTCGTGTAGAGAAACTTCTTGCTGCTGGAGGTATATATTATACCTCCAAAACATCAGGAACTGTCTTTCCTTCTTGTTCTCTGACTACCTTGATCATAAGTCCATCAATTTTTGTTTTTTTATTTGTTTTTTGCGTTTGCAGAAAGGAGAATCGCTGCAGTGTCGCTGCAGTCCGCACAGGGGGCGGCGTAGAGCTAAGAAGGGAAAGAAAAACGCTAAAGAGGGAATCTTTCATCTGTATAGCTAACTGAGGCTAGTGTGAGCTTTCTTGGCATCTTCTTTGGTGGTGATGAGGATTGAAAATAATAAAGTTGTACCGGCGAGAGAGAGAGAGAGAGAGAGATAGTGAGAGGGAGAAACTGTACATTTTGTAGTTGTAAGGGTCGTCTGTCTGTCTATACATACGGTCGATAGCTGAGCTGATTGCCATTCCATGAACCGCCACCTTACGCAGAGGACATAACGGCGTGAATCGATGTGTACCGAGTTTCAGGTAGGGTGTAAAAATGAGAGCAGGGGAGCAGGAAACGTTTTTTAGTCTATAAGAAAAACGTGACTGTAAAGGAAATGAAACTTGTTTGGTTTGGTTGAGAATGAGAGCTGTTAATGTTTAGTCTCGACGCCTAGTGCAGTTTTCTTGGCTCTTTCAATGGCAATGTATCCCTAGTTTCTATCTTCTTGTTCATATCTACTTGCTGCATTTTGCATTTCAGTCGTCGAAATTCGCATCTGGAAACTACAACGTTGTTGAATCCAGCAGCATGAGACTGTGGGTTTGATGGTATTCGAAATCGAATTGAGTTTCAGGAAAGTACATCAATCAATCCATAACTTGTGCAAAGGGGGAAAAATTATGCTAATCGTCATCAGCAAATTCATCTTCAGTATCGATCTTCTGGCCGAAGCCTCTAGGACCAGCTCTTGCTCTGGCCTTGACCTTCTTGCCCTTCCCACCTCTCTTCTTCTTGGCTGCTTCTTCCTTGTCAAATTTGTCCTTCTCCCTCTTCTGCAGGAAATCTGTGACTGCTATGTAAATCACCTGCAAAACCAGAATTTTGCCCCTCAATCCACAGTCTACAATGAAGAAAACGGAGAGGGGGAGATATAGAGCTGTGGAAAGTGGCTTACCCCAACAGTGAGAACAGAGAGGGCAACAAAAGCGATGAGGAGAAGGGTGGAGATGATGGTGCTCACTCCGTCGTCGGAAACAATCTCCTGGGCGGCATCGAGCGGGGCGACTATGTCAGCCGGCGGTGGAAGGGTAGCAGCATCTTGGGCGGCGGCGAGGGTCCTCCAAATTTGGGGACTCCGGCGGTGGGATTTCGAATGGGAGAGGAATTTGCAGTTGGTGGCGATGGAGAGGTTAGGAGTGGATAAGGAGAGAGGTGGAGAGATACCAGGTGGCAGTCGGAGGAGAAGTGCAGAAGGCGGTCGGGTCGTGGAGGGCGACGGCGGCGGCGGAAGTAGCGGAATGGGTGCGATTGCGGCCATGGTACATCTACTTGAGCTCTGCCTGCCACTGGAAGCAAGTCCAGTCCAGTGGAGATGGAATGTAAGTTTCTGGGTAAGTTAGTCTACGAGTATGGCAGTAACAACTAACAACTCAGCTGCTTGCTTTACTAATGGCTACAGTTAGTCTCGCTGACTGCTGCTGATGACGGGGTTTGCATTTTGCACCTTATTGACACTAGACAGTGTATATCAAAGTTCAATGGGCCTGTCATGGTCAATCCAAGCCCAATCTACATAGCCCTGATGTAGGAAGGGGCAATGACTGCCGAATGCCACCAGCCAGTCCTAATAGGCCAATACTATGGTGCCGCGGTAAAAAGTGGAGCATCGGTGACGCTGTTTTTTATTCGTCCAAGTGGAGTAGATGTGGCGGACTGGGTTGGTTTAATGAATATTGATCCAAACTCGGTGGTCCATTAGAGTAGCCCAACCGACCTCTCCCAAACTAACGGCGAACTCCCGTCACTTTATTCTGTATTGTGTTTTTATTAATTAATAAAGTAAATTAATATGAGTTTATGTTAGAAACAAGGTTTCTAACGGGTTTGATAATTGGGATTTAGGGATTTGAAGAATAGAACTAGGGATTAAGAAGTAGAATTTGGGGAAGAACGAGAAAGAATGGCCGGCAGCCGGATTAGGGAAGAAGAGGAATTGAGAGAATATGGGAGAGAATAGGATTTAGGGATTTTCTTAATATGCTTCTTATTGATTCTCAATGAAAGCCCAAAGTACATATATATAGGAAATAGTGGAAAACCCTAACAATAAACCTAATTCTATTAAATGACTACTAACCCTAATGAGAATTATCCTATTAGTAATAATAATAATAAATATAGAAACCCTACCGAAATTGGTTTCTAACATCTCTTCCCCCTTCAAACCAACCTTGCCCTCAAGGTTGACCAACTTGACCCACTCTTCTACGTCGTCCATGCAAACCGCACCTTGACTCATCCATCTCTTGCGCTTCCTTTTCTTCCAATCACGCTCTTGTACCCGCACACGACTTATAGCACAAGCATTCATAGCCTCCATCGATTCTTGTCCACCCTCGTGACTCGCCCCATAATGCCCATGGTCACCCAAGCCTTCATCCGCCCTTTCAAATTCCAAATAATAAGAATATGAAAGCTTCACAGCAATCCTATCCTTTTGCACGGAACAATACTTCCACATTTCCTCATTGTAATATGCATTGTAAGCTAGTATCAAATTATTGAGCATCTCTTGAGCCCCTACTTTCATTTCTTGTGGTCCTTCAAAACCACCCAGAATACACCCAAGCATCCATTCCTCACTTTCCTGCCCCCTCGGTCCCTTCTCCTGCACAACTTGCCCACTTAAGCCTCCCATAAGCCCTGCCTCGCTCAACACGATTAGTGGATCAATATCCACCGCCCAACCATGCAACAATCTCCCCCCGTACTCTTCAACACCCAGCCCCTAACATCCCCACTTCAACCCCAGCTTCGGCTCACTTAATTGGGCCAACACAAGCTGGAGCTGCCGGTCTCTGCTAGTACTAGGATTTGCGAGAAAAGGAAACCAGTCGCCACAACCCTCCTCCGTAAGCCATCCACCCTGCCGACGCCGAAACCAGGATTGCAAGGCTTCGCGGCCCACCTCCTCCTGGCGAAGTTGGCCCAATCCAACTGGAAAACTGACCCAACTCGCTTGGCCCAACGGTGCAACTCTCCACGTGAGCTGCCTCGATTTCTCGAGGGGAGGGACGACACTGCTGCCGCCTTCCTTCTTCATCACTTTTCCCGGCCAGTCCTCGACCGACGGTGAGGCTGCTTCCGACCTCGTCGGCTCCTCGCTCTCCCGCGATTTCTTCTTCATCTCCTTCTCCAGCGGCGCGAGTAGCAGCACACCGGCGTCGACGTCCCCAATCAACGGCTGTTCGCACCGGAGAGGTATACAGCCGCTGACTTCCTTCTTAGACTCGTCGTTTGCCGCGCAGGTCCTTCGCTCCGCCGTCGTCATCGCGACTGTAACTGCCGGCGACCGCAGCGCCTCCTCTCCCTTCGCGATCGGCGACTCGATTACCCCGCTGAATCCTCTAACAGTGTGAGGATGGAAGACGTCGTCACCCTCCTTCTCTTCCTCTTCCGGCAACGCGTACCTCACCAGACAGCAAGGTTTCCGTCGTTCTTCTAGACTCGGCTTCATCTTCTCTCGACCCGGCTCCGACGGGTGCCTCTTTGTCTTGTCTTTCCGTGCTCCTCGTGTCTGCGACGAACGACACACTTTCTTCTTGAACTTCCAATTGACTCTGCCATACTGTGCCATTGAATCCCTAATTAGGGGTCTAGAATTTTTGGGATTTACCTCTTCCCATTTAAGATCTAATACAACATCCGCAGCGTTCGACCTGTCCGCCTCTCCTGAGGGAATGGGCGTCTTCGACGCTGCCACAACAGTGGTCGGTGCAGCCGTTGAGGCGAGGTGGTTAGGTGTTGGCATTGACGTTAGGGGTGGTTGCTCAGCTTTGATCTCAGCATCCGGACCTCTGTCTTCGACACCAGCTGCGAGGAGTAAGGCGGTGATCTCAGCCGCCGGTGGTGATGGTGGTTGAGTCACCTTTGCTGTGACGAAGATAGCTTCGCCTCCGATGGATGGCTGCTTCGTGGTTAAACTTCCCGGGACCGCCGCAACGGATTTGAAGGATTGGCGTTTGGGGCGCGCCTCCCACTTATCCATGGCGGCTTGGAGTTTTTCGTGGGATGTCTTACACTGCTCCAAGTCCTCCTTTAATTTGTCCATGCGGGTTTGCATCCGATCCCAGGATGCGTGACAGTAGTTCCTGATTTGATCAAGGGATTCGCACAAGGCATTATAGTCCCCGGGTGAGAGTTGTGACAAACTCAGATCTTCGACCATGGCTCTGATACCAAATGTTAGAAACAAGGTTTCTAACGGGTTTGATAATTGGGATTTAGGGATTTGAAGAATAGAACTAGGGATTAAGAAGTAGAATTTGGGGAAGGACGAGAAAGAATGGGCGGCAGCCGGATTAGGGAAGAAGAGGAATTGAGAGAATATGGGAGAGAATAGGATTTAGGGATTTTCTTAATATGCTTCTTATTGATTCTCAATGAAAGCCCAAAGTACATATATATAGGAAATAGTGGAAAACCCTAACAATAAACCTAATTCTATTAAATGACTACTAACCCTAATGAGAATTATCCTATTAGTAATAATAATAATAAATATAGAAACCCTACCGAAATTGATTTCTAACAGTTTATGAATATTGGATAATTCTGCAGCTTCCAACTAGAATTTATGTAACCTTCCACACACTTCTATATTTCAATTTGAGTGTAATAGGCCTAAATATATATGACCACTATGTAATATGTATTGAATTATTCAGAAATCAAATTCAAGATAAATAGTAAATAACACCAAACCTGCTTCTCATTAAGATCATTAGTAAGAAAGCACTTCAACCACATTCTGATTCATAAAAAAGTCAAATTCACTGGTCTCCTTGATAAAAGGAAGGTTCAGATCTCCTGAGCAGTTGAGTACAGTGCAAACTTAAGAGGATGTACATCAGCAGCAACAATACATTCTTGGCTATTTCTTTTGCTTTCATTTTATGGATATTATAAAGTATATTATAGAAAAGATTTACTACTGCGCATGAATCCATGAGCTCTATCAGATGGTTCATCAGTGATACCTAAAATCCTTTCCAAGAGTAAAAACCAACCAACGAAATTAGATACCATACTCTGTTCGCACAAGGTTAGCAGCAACCAACTAATAACATAACGACTGCAAACAATAGATTTTGACCATTCCATGTCTGATTCACCAGGAGTATAAAGATCTCAACTTTACAAGGAAGGGCAAACAATTTTCTCGAGATTGTGATTGGTTTTTTTCTCCTGTCCTAATGGATCAACAACATTGGACTCAGTGTTGAACTTTTTGCATCTGGCATTCATACCGAGGCATCTTTCGCATCATTGCCAAGAGGGCTCTTTAGCTTGGACAAAGGTGCAGAGCTTAGACAAATAATAAGAACTATATATAACAAGCAAACCTTTAGTTAAGTACATTCATCTAGCATTTGTGTGAAGAAATAATTTGTAGTTTTGCTTCAGGTCCACTAGTACTGTGACCAACTTGGCAATGTCCAGCTTTCATCCGAAGATTAAGAGCAAACAAAGGTTATAAATAGGCTTAGTATGAGCCGAATAATCCACTGGAGTTACTTTTCAACACTACTAGAAACAATACCCACAGCTACATCGCGGGAAGTATCTTGCAATTACATGTTCAATTTTGTTCAGTATCTTTTAAAAGCAGTATAGCAAAAACAGAAAATAGTTAGAAATTAAATAATAGAAGAGTACGAAGAATACAGGGAAAAGGATCGATGGGCAGGCTAAAACTTTGGCTAATACAAAGAAGGAAGTCATCCTACTGCCAACCAAAACCACTTATAAGTGCGATTGGTATCGTTCGACTGAGTACATCTAACCATTTACTTTTTTGTTTACAGTCCAAGTAGCAGTGGTATCCATTGAAAGTAGTGGAGCAGGACTTGGCACAGCAGTAGCAGCCGCAAAGCTCCAAGGGTATTCTGTATGACTTTCCTTTCCTTTCCCGAACCCCATATGTAGAAAGGTTAGTAACAAATGCAGCACATCAACGACGACACAACATATGTTCAGTTTCAACTCTCTGTATAGTCATTTGCTAAAAGAGAAACACTCGGAGATTGAACATGAAGACTTCCCATATCAAGCAATTTGGCAACAAATCCCTACTAATTTGCACAAATTGTTTAGCTTTCAAGGCAAATTAATGTAAATAATCCAGAAACCTACCTCGAGCTCAGTCAGGTCAAGCAGATCACGGGCAAGCGTCAAGAAATACATATTAGAAGTGAATGTACTTCTGCATACAATCAAAAGAAAAGGAAATACCAGGAGAAAACAAATGAATGGCATTACCTTGCATTTTCTCTGAATTCGTTCAACATGTATTCGTTCAACATAGAAGGAATAGACTGCATGTGAGTTCATTCTAAGCATTACTTGTATCCTTTAAGAAATAATGAATGAAGAAAGAAAGAGTTATTACACAAACCTGACACAATCCAACACGGAAGTGGGAACTTCTCTCTTGAAGAGGTTAAAAGCAATTGAAAACTGTAGAATGGAAATTGACCTCTGAATTTGATGCAGCATCATCATCATTGGTGGGCTTCCTCCTTGTAGAGCATCATCATTATTTCTCTTCTTTTCAGTTCACAATTCCTGCAACCACACAACAGAGTTTGGTCAAACTCGAAGCTTTTTAACATGAAACAAACAGTCATACCATTAGTGCAGACATGTTATCGCTATTTGCTTCAGCAGCCTGCCTGAACTATTCTATGTTGATGTTTCCCTTCGCAACAGTTCCAACAGCAGAAGTTTTCATTCCACACATGACAGCAGCTGCAGGATTTGTCCCATGTGCTGAAACATGAACGATGCAAACATTACGGTGGTGATTCTCTCTTGCCTGCAGTATAAGTACTCCATCATGATTAAATTAACAAACTAAGAATAAAATATAAAGAAAAAGAACATACTGAAAGGAATTCTTGACCCTGTATTTAGGGCTTCATGCAGTGAACCGGAAGGGTAGTTTTCATGAAAAATTCCATCTACCAACCGAAACACGCAAATGAGAAAAGCTGGTTAATTCTCATGGGTTGGAACTGTGACTCACAATCAATTAGAAGGAAGAACTTTAGAGATCTGTTTCATTCTTTCTCCAGTAAAGTAATCAGAGTCAGCAACATGAGTGTGATCATTTCCACAAATCACATTATATCGAGTAAACTCCAAATATTAGAAGGACATAACGTAAGATCATTGAGAGTTCCAATTACATTAGCACCTGAGCTCTTCCAAGTGAAAATGTTGGAATGAGGACCTTCCCTCCAGCAACACGGTCATGGACCAACATGAGCAATTTCAGTTGGCACTTTTTAAAGGGCACAAACATGTATAAAGTTGGACACTGAATCTCTTTGAGTTATAGACATGCAGTAAAGCATCAATTACATAGAAAATGCAATACACATACTACATCGAATAATGCAAGATACACATAACTTTGAAATTACAGGCCACTGATGGCTCTTGTTCCCAGCAACAATGTCGTGCTTCTAAACACAGGAGATCTCAGTAATATGATATCTCGCCTGTTAGAGAGTCATTCTTCTCAGAAATACAGGCCGGGAGCCTACACAGCATCTAAAGGCAATGTCGGATAAACCATATCAAAACACATGGCTGCCCGCCTGAGCGATTATGTCCAGACTTCAAGTGGAGCAAATATAGCTGCATGGCAGTCTAAAATTGACAGCAGATAAAAGGGCACATACAGATCTTGAACTTCCGCTACTTTCTCAATGGATTCATTTTGGGCTTCTCAACCAGTAAAATCTTAAAAGCAGTTACTATGTAAGCAGCACATAATAGAAGCGCATACTTTGTGGGTGAAAGGAATGGGGAAAATGTCCAGTAAACAAACTGAATTGGAGGGAACCAACCATGAGAAAGGGAAGGAAAGACCTACTGACCAATTGGGAAACAAATGCAGAAGACAAAAATCTTATTTGCTTCAAAGAAAAATTCTACTTCCCTCACCATTTCACCATCTTTCTCACCTCCCGCATCATCATTCAAATCAATGCAATGAATTAGTATAAAGTATTAGCAACTACCTAGGAATAAATTTGTTTTGAACTGGAATGAGTATCTATAAGCAAACTAACAATTGAAGAAACAATTAAGAGGAACACAAAACAATGTTACTGTATGAGTTGACGTTTGGAACTTGAGCTGCTTACCATTTTCTTATTTCTCAGTTTGGAACTTGAGAACTGTCGAAGCTTCTGATCCAAAGGTATCCAAATTTCTCTTAGGCCACTAAGTATTGATTAAACTCTGTTCAACTCCCCGATTTCTTATCTTTTCATCTTCCTCGCCGATCCCAACCCTAATCCCTAAAGTTGAGCTTCTTCTTCCCTTCTGCTTGGAAACAATTAAGCTTTCAAATCGCCAAACTCTGACTCTACCTTCCCTTTCCAGCTATAGTCAACATTCATGGAGCCAAGCAATTCATTGGTTAATCGACGTCTCTGGGGAAACCACCAAAGAACAAAATCCCAAAATCAGATGTGGCAAATCCAACAAAGTTCGGAACTTGGGATAGAATCCAACTCACATCTACGACTAAAAATCCGGAGAAAACGAAGAAGAGAAAATCCACTCACCGTCGTCTTCACCAGCCACCGGTGGGCCGGCCTCTTCCACCTTGGTAAGGCCCCTCTTCTCCGATCATTGTTCCTCTGCGTCTAACGCTTTCATCCAGCGAGTCATTCTTGTTGACTCTTTCATGTAGCGATTTCAGTGTGGACATCCAGCGAGTCATTCTTGTCGACTCTTTCATGTAGCGATTTCAGTGTGGACGAATCGATGGAAGAGGGATGGGTAAATAATCAGGCAGAGGGAGGGGGAGACGACACAAAGAGGCAAAAAAATGTGGAACAGAGTAAGAAAAGGATCGAGTAGGAGGTAGAGACAAACTGGGGGACCAGTGGAGTCCAATCGTCCCGTAGTCGACGGTAACCCATTCATCGAGAGGAGCAGGGTGAGAGTTGTACGATTCATGGGTGGTTACGTGTGTAAGCATATGGGAAGAGGAGCATTCGAACTGAGCAGTTGAAGGAGAGCAGGAACCATGGGCGGTATCGTGGCCAGCAGAGCTTTGCCAAGCGGTGTCGTGTTAGAGCAAGCAAACGGAAAGCGTGTGGCTGCCTGCAGAGAGGTGACGTCTGCAGCAGTGCGCGTACAGACGACATGGGCATCTGCTGGAATTGGGAGAAACCATGCCTGCGACAGAAAGCAGTTTTTTTTTTTTTTTTGATAAAAGGCAGTGCTTTTCCATTACTTGCGGCTGAAGCCAGTTGATTACAAAAGGAGGGAAATAACATCAAGGACCTGAACCCATTGGATGGGCAGTACATTTTTTGTTCGTGATCTGGCCACCCAATTTGCTTTCACGTTGTCCACCCTTTTGATGTGGGAGATCTTGTTCCATGGGTGCTCATCGAGCGCCTTTTTGATGCTTCCAATCCATGCTGATGCTCGCCATGACCAATGATTCTGGTTCCCTTGCACAGCACTGATGAGGGTGAGACAGTCCGAT